GCAAGAAAAACTAACGGCTAGTGATTTACTGTCGAATTCAACCAAGCGAAAATCAATTCTAAAAAGTCTTGAAACTGAATACAACATCCGACTGATTCATCAACAATGAGTCATTTAATTGCTGCATAAATAATTTAGCTAGAATAACTAACGGCTAGAGATTAACTGCCGAACTCGATCTAGCGAAAGTAATTCAAAATACTTATCTTGAAATTGAATACAACATCCGACTGATTCATTAACAATGAGTCAAATAATTGTTGCATAAATAATTTAGCTAGAATAAATAACGGCTAGTAATTCACTGTCGAACTCGATCTGGCAAAAGTAATTCAAAATACTTGTCTTGAAATTTAATACAACATCCAACTGATTCATCAACAGTGAGTCATTTAATTGTTGCTCATATAATTTAATTGGAATATCTAACGGCTAGTGATTCACTGTCGAACTCGACCTAGCCAAACTAAACTCAAAATTGTATCTAGAAATTGGATACGACATCCCACTGATTCATCAACAATGAGTCATTTAATTGCTGCATAAATAATTTAGCTAGAATAACTAACGGCTAGAGATTAACTGCCGAACTCGATCTAGCGAAAGTAATTCAAAATACTTATCTTGAAATTGAATACAACATCCGACTGATTCATTAACAATGAGTCAAATAATTGTTGCATAAATAATTTAGCTAGAATAAATAACGGCTAGTAATTCACTGTCGAACTCGATCTGGCAAAAATAATTCAAAAAACTTATCTTGAGCTTGAATACAACATCCGACTGATTCACCAATTATGAGTCACTTAATAATTGCTCAAAAAAATCAGCAAGAAAAACTAACGGCTAGTGATTTACTGTCGAACTCAACCAAGCGAAAATCAATTCTAAAAAGTCTTGAAACTGAATACAACATCCGACTGATTCATCAACAATGAGTCATTTAATTGTTGAATAAATAATTTAGCTAGAATCACTAACGGCTAGTGATTCACTGTTGAAATCGATCTAGCAAAAGTAATTCAAAATACTTGTCTTGAAATTTAATACAACATCCAACTGATTCATCAACAGTGAGTCATTTAATTGTTGCTCATATAATTTAGCTGGAATATCTAACGGCTAGTGATTCACTGTCGAACTCGGCCTAGCCAAACTAAATTCAAAATTGTATCTAGAAATTGGATACGACATCCCACTGATTCATCAACAATGAGTCATTTAATTGCTGCATAAATAATTTAGCTAGAATAACTAACGGCTAGTGATTCACTGTCGAACTCGATCTGGCAAAAATAATTCAAAAAACTTATCTTGAGCTTGAATACAACATCCGACTGATTCACCAATTATGAGTCACTTAATAATTGCTCAAAAAAATCAGCAAGAAAAACTAACGGCTAGTGATTTACTGTCGAATTCAACCAAGCGAAAATCAATTCTAAAAAGTCTTGAAACTGAATACAACATCCGACTGATTCATCAACAATGAGTCATTTAATTGCTGCATAAATAATTTAGCTAGAATAACTAACGGCTAGTGATTAACTGCCGAACTCGATCTAGCGAAAGTAATTCAAAATACTTATCTTGAAATTGAATACAACATCCGACTGAGTCATTAACAATGAGTCAAATAATTGTCGCATAAATAATTTAGCTAGAATAACTAACGGCTAGTAATTCACTGTCGAACTCGATCTGGCAAAAATAATTCAAAAAACTTATCTTGAGCTTGAATACAACATCCGACTGATTCACCAATTATGAGTCACTTAATAATTGCTCAAAAAAATCAGCAAGAAAAACTAACGGCTAGTGATTTACTGTCGAATTCAACCAAGCGAAAATCAAAACTAAAAAATTTTGAAACTGAATACAACATCCGACTGATTCATCAACAATGAGTCATATAATTGTTGCATAAATAATTTAGCTAGAATAACTAACGGCTAGTAATTCACTGTCGAAATCAATCAAGCAAAAATAAATCAAAAAACTTATCTTGAGCTTGAATACAACATCCGACTGATTCACCAATTATGAGTCACTTAATAATTGCTCAAAAAAATCAGCAAGAAAAACTAACGGCTAGTGATTTACTGTCGAAACCAACCAAGCGAAAATCAATTCTAAAAAGTCTTGAATCTGAATACAACATCCCACTGCTTCATCAACAATGAGTCATTTAATTACTGCATAAATATTTCAGCTAGAATAACTAACTGCTAGTGATTCACTGCCGAAAACGATCTAGCAAAAGTAATTCAAAATACTTGTCTTGAAATTTAATACAACATCCGACTGATTCATCAACAATGAGTCATTTAATTGTTGCTCATATAAATTAGCTGGAATATCTAACGGCTAGTGATTCACTGTCGAACTCGACCTAGCAAAACTAAATTCAAAATTGTATCTAGAAATTGGATACGACATCCCACTGATTTATCAACAATGAGTCATTTAATTGCTGCATAAATAATTTAGCTAGAATAACTAACGGCTAGTGATTCACTGTCGAAATCGATCTAGCAAAAGTAATTCAAAATTGTATCTAGAAATTGGATACGTCATCCCACTGATTCATCAACAATGAGTCATTTAATTGCTGCATAAATAATTTAGCTAGAATAACTAACGGCTAGTGATTCACTGCCGATCTCGATCTAGCAAAAGTAATTCAAAATACTTGTCTTGAAAGTTAATACAACATCCGACTGATTCATTTACAATGAGTCATATAATTGTTGCATAAATAATTTAGCTAGAATAACTAATGGCTATTAATTCACTGTCGAACTCGATCTAGCAAAAACAAATAAAAAATCTTATCTTGAGCTTGAATACAACATCCGACTGATTCATCACATATGAGTCACTTAATAATTACTCAAAAAATTCAGCATGAAAAACTAACGGCTAGTGATTTACCGTCGAATTCAACCAAGCGAAAATCAATTCTAAAAAGTCTTGAAAATGAATACAACATCCGACTGATTCATCAGCAATGAGTCATTTAATTGTTGAATAAACAATTTAGCTAGAATAACTAACGGCTAGTGATTCACTGTCGAAATCGATCTAGCAAAAGTAATTCAAAATACTTGTCTTGAAATTTAATACAACATCCGACTGATTCATCAACACTGAGTCATTTAATTGTTGCTCATATAATTTAGCTGGAATATCTAACGGCTAGTGATTCACTGTCGAACTCGACCTAGCAAAACTAAATTCAAAAATGTATCTAGAAATTGGATACGTCATCCCACTGATTCATCAACAATGAGTCATTTAATTGCTGCATAAATAATTTAGCTAGAATAACTAACGGCTAGTGATTCACTGCCGATCTCGATCTAGCAAAAGTAATTCAAAATACTTGTCTTGAAAGTTAATACAACATCCGACTGATTCATTTACAATGAGTCATATAATTGTTGCATAAAAAATTTAACTAGAATAACTAATGGCTATTAATTCACTGTCGAACTCGATCTAGCAAAAACAAATAAAAAATCTTATCTTGAGCTTGAATAAAACATCCGACTGATTCATCACATATGAGTCACTTAATAATTACTCAAAAAATTCAGCATGAAAAACTAACGGCTAGTGATTTACCGTCGAATTCAACCAAGCGAAAATCAGTTCTAAAAAGTCTTGAAAATGAATACAACATCCGACTGATTCATCAGCAATGAGTCATTTAATTGTTGAATAAACAATTTAGCTAGAATAACTAACGGCTAGTGATTCACTGTCGAAATCGATCTAGCAAAAGTAATTCAAAACACTTGTCTTGAAATTTAATACAACATCCGACTGATTCATCAACAATGAGTCATTTAATTGTTGCTCAAATAATTTAGCTAGAATAACAAACGGCTAGTGATTCACTGTCGAACTCGACCTAGCAAAACTAAAATCAAAAATGTATCTAGGAATTGGTTACGACATCCCACTGATTCATCAAAAATGAGTCATTTAATTGCTGCATAAATAATTTAGCTAGAATAACTAACGGCTAGTGATTAACTGCCGAGCTCGATCTAGCGGAAGTCATTCAAAATACTTATCTTGAAATTAAATACAACATCCGACTGATTCATTAACAATGAGTCATATAATTGTTGCATAAATAATTTAGCTAGAATAACTAACGGCTAGTAATTCACTGTCGAACTCGATCTAGCAAAAATAGTTCTAAAAACTTATCTTGAGCTTGAATACAACATCCGACTGATTCATCAACTATGAGTCATTTAATTGTTGCTCATACAATTTAGCTAGAATAACTAACGGCTAGTGATTCAATGTCGAATTCAACCTAGCAAAACTAAAATCAAAAATGTATCTAGAAATTGGATACGACATCCCACTGCTTCATCAACAATGAGTCATTTAATTGCTGCATAAATAATTCAGCTAGAATAACTAACGGCTAGTGATTCACTGCCGAAATCGATCTAGCAAAAGTAATTCAAAATACTTGTCTTGAAATTTAATACAACATCCGACTGATTCATCAACAATGAGTCATTTAATTGCTGAATTAATAATTTAGCTTGAATAACTAAGGGCTAGTAATTCACTGTCGAACTCGATCTAGCAAAACTAACTCAAAAAAAATTATCTCGAACTTGAATACAACATCCGACTGATTCATCAACAATGAGTCTTTTAATTGTTGCTCAAATAATTTAGCTAGAATAACTAACGGCTAGTGATTCACTGTCGAACTCGATCTAGCAAAACTAAATTCAAAATTGTATCTAGAAATTGAATACGACATCCCACTGATTCATCGAAAATGAGTCATTCAATTGCTGCATAAATAACTTAGCTAGAATTACTAACGGCTAGTGATTCCCGCTCGAACTCAATCTGTCAAAAAAAAATAAAAGCTTAGTCAATCAACGAGCGACTGATACTCCAAAACAGAACAGCTTTTTGTGACTGAAATTGGCAAATTAATTAGTAAATTATCTTACTTTCGGTTGGTTTTTACAACTACCGCACGGTTCTCACTACTGCCAAATTTAGACCCATTTGCTCTGTCGTTTTCAATTGATCCGATTGCACTTCCTTCGTTTAGCGTTCGTTCGGTTGTGAGAAGATTTGAAGATGCTAAGCTGGTGTGTTGCCTGCAGTACAACTTCACTGTGATTGGATGACAAGAGGGCGTGATTGTCCAATGTCGCGAGTGCATTGCACACGGCAAATGAACTGAACGTGTACAATACTCTAAATTACATTCACAAATTGAAGCATTTAATACAGTATAGAAAATGAAGGCGATATAAAAAAAATGTATGCCTGGTTTGCAAACTCGGCGGTTTCAATTCTCGTTGTGAGCCAATTTTCCAACGTTTAGTCACAAACAGCGCTATTAAATTTCATAATTCAGAAACTTTTAATCTTAACTTAGGTTCATCTTATCTTAAAATATTTTCTTTAATGTCAGAATACATAATAGACGCATTGTGAATTCTGTCTTTTCACTGAAGTCCTCGTAGAATAATAATTCACAAAGAAGTGAGTAAAAACTGGGCTTGCATAAATGATATTCCATTTCCTTTTTGCAGAATTTCTAAAACCCACTTTTTTTAAAATCTTTTTTTGATTCAATTGACGAATTAAGAAAGCGTCAACAATGTTAACTTATTATTTATCAAATTTCAAAGAACATGTAAGTATATTGCCAATGCAGTACACTAATTGAAAAGGGCCACCAAAGTAGCAGATTAAATTGGTGTCCCCGCAACAAGATAACCCCACAATAACTTAACCCCTTTACTACCGATAATTTGTTTCAAATTCAGTCCTTTTTATAAGTACAAGAGTATCCCAATTAAGTGTATTAATTGAGTCCTGAAAAGCCAGTCTTAAATCACTTGATGCCTCCAGCATCTCAAAAAATTGCATTTCGATTAGTTAAAGAAATAATCCCTCATCCACGCACGCGTTTAAAATAGAGATAACCTACATGGTGCTAATTGAAAATAACTCAAAAATTTTCAATAATTGTACGCAAAATCATACTGCCTTACACTTGAACGATTGTTTTACCATTATATGAGCTATAATATTTGAGTCCTTCCATTTTACTTAATCCTCCAAACAAAACAAATATTAGTGGTATCCGGCCACGAGTATTATCTTAAACGTAAGAACAAAACCACTACCAACTGGAACTGCTCAAAATACCAGACTCATAAATGCCGAGCGACAGCAAATATGGATGGCGATAAATTTATTCAAACGAGGGGTGAGCATAATCACGACATATCTACGTGACAAACTGATGCTCGACAAGTTTTGGATAACATCAATGACCTGAGCGAGAGTAATTCCCCGACCGTGGCAGTCGCCACAGCAACTCAGCTCATAACAGACGATATTGCCACTCAAATAGCCCTACCAAGTAAGGAAAACTTAGTTCGAACTGCACAGCGCATGCGGAAGCAACGAGAACAGGTTTTACAAGTCTCCCCAGCAACAAGAAATTTCGGCAATGTCTCCCCAGCAACAAGCTATTTAAGAACTTTGTAAGATTTGACCGTGAACAAAATGATCACGAAAGGATTATTTTATTCTGCGACCCAGAAATGCTTCGCGTGCTCGAAAAGTCAATTTTTTTGTTAGCTGACGGAACTTTCGAAGTTACTCCTAAAATGTTTTATCATTTTTAATCGATACATGTTAGTCTTTCATGCCTTCTTGCCAAATAAAACGGAAAAAAGATACCATCGTTTCTTAGAAGCTCTAAAACACTTAGCCCCTGGCAGTAAACCTGGAAATCTTTTGCTGGAACTCGAGCAGGCCGCTCTTCAAGCATTTCGAAAAACGTTCCAGAGTCCAAGCTGTCTGGATGTTAATTCATCTGTCTCAAAATTATTTGAGAAAAACTGCGGCACTCGGATTGAAAAAGGAGTACGAAGCGGACCACGAGCTTACATTAGCTCTTGAAATGTTACCCTCACTGGCTTTCGAAAAAGAAAACATAGGAAACTCCTACGATAAAATAGTCGAGGAAATTCAAATCGTATGCGATCGCACCATAAAAGTGAGAAAAAAACCTGAAAAAAGTGACGAACTCTGCCTGTATTTTGGATCTAATTACATGAAAATTTAGTCCCGAACCGAGATGGAAGCAAAGAGTTGCCGCAGCATCCGGTTTGGCAAGAACAACGAATGCTGTGGAGGGCTGGCATTATGGCAAACAGTAAATTTAGTGGTTCACACCCTAGTATTTGGAAATTAATGGCAAACTTGCAAAAAGACGCCTTCCCTTCAAAGACTTAGTTTCTTTAACGCCTCGCACGGGCACCAAATTACATAAAAGAAAAATTACCGAGTCCTAAACGAAAAAGTGCAGAATATTATGCAGGTTTATGAAGAGAAAACTGATTTGCATTTCTTTCGCGATATGGCGAACTCAAGCTAAACATTGGTTCATTTGTTCTTTGTAGATATTTTAAAAATAAAATGTTGTTAGTCAAAGTTTTGAGAAAAGACGTCTCCTTGCAGCCTCCCGGAGACGTAAAAAAAACGCGTTTACTTGTCTCGCATTTGAAAATGCTGTCCCTTAACAATATCCCGGAACAATCGCTCTTTTGGTGGGACAAGGTTGGGACTAGAGCTGGCAAACGTTTTAGACATTGCGTTGTAAGCCGACAGTTCAAAGAAAAATTGACAAACTTTAGATGGTTCGAAAAGTTAGTTAAGTTTTACTTTAAAAAGATTAGTATTTGAAAAAAACTTGGATTAGATCGATCAAAGTTTTGATCACAAACAATTTTCATTCCATAATCCATTTAAGTTCAGACAATTAACCTATTATTAGCAAAAAAAATTTCAAGATCAAGTCCAATTTTGAAGAAATCTAATCATTTTCCGTTAATAATTTGAATCATGCCGATCGGATTAGTTTTCAAATTCGTATCAAAGCCTAGACTATCGGCAATGTCATTTCTGTTCAATTCTAAACCGCATTTAGCAGCTTGCATGTTAATTCGTTTTGCTTCGCAAAAATTTTTGCAATTATAGCTTCGATGTTTACCGACGCTATGCTTTCGAATTTCTTTCAAGTAAGTTTCACTTTGATTCTAACATTTGTATTAAAAAGCGGTTAAATTGTAGTGGGATTATTTAATTCTGGGTTATTTGAGAGGGGGTTAAGAAAAAGCGGGATAAAAAACGCGGGGCGATAAGCTTGGGAACCCGATAATTTGCTACTTAGGTGGGAAAAAAGTTGAACTGTACTATCACACTACGCTAATAAAGATACGAGCAGATAAAATAACTTTTGCATTAAATTGGAAAAGATTTTCTTTCATTTTTTCTTTTGGCTGAGTTTTGCTTAATACAATTTTGAGCTGCTTATCTACTTATTCATTTTGCAAACAGAAAAAGGAAATTGAGGACCCTCCTGATTTGTTGGAGTTGCAACAAAAGATTATAAAAATCCTAGTAGATATAAAAAGTTTTCTTTTCATTGAATTGGAAAAGATTTTTTCATTTTTCTATTGACTGATGATTAGATTTCGAGTATGGTTCATTATATTTATGCGCTGCTTCTTCATTTTCCAATTCGTCAACAGGCAAAATTGGAATCAAGTAATCAATTTTACCGTTAAAGCACTGAAGACATGCGGACAAATATTTCATCTCTCGGTTGGAGAAGAAGTCCGAGTCACAGCTGTCAGAAGATTCACATTGAACTCTGTCATCTAGTCGATGACACACACTGCAATTCTGAAAACAGTGCAAAAATTAAACATAGCCAACAGAAAGTTGGAAAAGTATCAATGAACGCAACTGAAGCAGAAAAAATACTGTCTTGTTTTAAAATGCTTTTCGGAGAAAAAAATATATGCCCTATAAGCTCACCGAGATTCTAGTACAATTTACGATTGACCTTTTTTTGATAAAATGAATCCAATAAGGTAAATCTGAAAACTAAAATCCACTTTCGAAACTAGAAATTGATTACGTTTTTCGTGACCTTTTCACTTTTGCTAATCAATCGTGGAGTTTGCCGTCCTTTAAACAAAGGAAATGACCTGAACTTATAAAAGAAATCAAAATTCAAAACGGGAAAATCAAATTTGGACGTGAGCAAATGTAATAACTTTTTCCTTAAAAAAAGATCACGACCTATAAAAATGTCTTCACTATGTTCATTGATATTTAAAATCGCCGCGCAAGAAGTTCGTAGAAAATTGATTTGACATATGCTTAACTTGAGTTATTTACACTCACCAGTGAAGTGCGCATTCGATCCACTCTTGACAAATCTACCGAATGATGCTGCAGATCCGTGAATAGTGCTTCTGGAACTGCAATCGCGCACGCTACGTGCACCCAGAGTGATTTTCCAGGTACCACTTTGCACGGATGTTTCTGAGAGGGGTTGAAAGTCAAAGGCACTTTAGAAACACGTTTGAAGGCGCCTCCTTTCTTCATGCATAGAAGACAAGTCTACAGCAAAATAATCAAACTGAACATTCGGCAAACTAATTTAAGATAACCTCAACCAAACGTTCGAAAAAATGAATTTGAAATATGTGTTTTCGTAAACGACAAAGATAGAAAAACACATCAAAAAGTTAGATAATAGTTGATTCAAGCTTGAATCAACTATTATCTAACTTTTTGATACCCAATTTTGTATTTTTAGTCGGCTTTTTATTCATGTATTGCTCTTACCGGCATGCTTAATTTTGATCTATGTTCCACTCTTTTATCGATCGGATAACGATGAACATCTTCAGAATCTGATGTGTCACCGCGTTCAGATAAAGCACATGGATCACATTTCCATTCATCAGCTGAAAATTGATCGATTGACACTCCGTAACATGTCGCATGCACTGATACATAGCACCTTAAATAACCTTAAATCGTTGATATTTACAATCATATAAAATCATTAATCTGAACATAACTCAGCATAGCTAAAACACGGCTGGGAAAACTTTTTCCACCGTACATTTAAATAAAAAACTTTCAAAACTGTACTTTTTTCCCAAGACCTGATATAATTATTGATATAAACGTAAGAAAAAAAGCTGGATTATTTCCAGGAAACCATTATGTTGGTGACTTTTTTTGATAACAATAAACCATTCCGAGAAGCCACAAAAATCTTTAAATTGAACCGCCCAAACAAAACAAAGAATGCGATAACAATTTCTAACACTTTCATTTGAGAAAAATGAAACAAACTACCCATACAATCAAGATTTTTTTTTTAAAAAAATCAACGCTTCAATGACAAAATAATTCAACGAACGCAAGGTAACATAAAAAATTATCTCTGAAAAAAATCGAATTTCGAAGCTCTTAAATTTCAAGAACAATTTATGATTGAGCTAACTACAAGAGTTTTCCTGATAAGACATAGTCAACTGACAGTTGGAAAAGAGTAATGAACGCTAGCAAACTGAAAAAAACGTGTTTTTTGAAAAACCTTCAACTTTTGAATTTCGAAGAAAAAAAAGATGGCCTTAAAGCTCTTTGAATTTGTAGAACAAATTTTGATGGACACTTTTTTGTTAAAGTTACGCAATTTGAGAAAACTGTATCAATAGGTAAAACTTATATTTCGCTGAGAAATCTGATTATTATCAAGTTTTTTGTGACCTTTACAATTTTGCTGTTTGACAGTGGAGTTTGCCTTCTTTTTAACAATAGAAATGCACTGACATTTTAAAAACATCACAAGTCAAACCGCGTCTTACATACCACTAATATGATCCAGTTTATTGAGCGACGTTTTTCTTGGAGTAAAAAGTTACTTTTTTTTGCTACCTTTATTCTTGAAATTTATTTAGTTTATGTTAATTCCTTTCTCATGCTTTTGTAATTAAGTTTATTCTAGTCTTTAATTTTAGTGCAGCATCCAGCAATCCAAATGGATTCGTTCGCTGTCCTATCCGAGTTACTAAAAAATTTGTTTAACTTAAACTTGGTTAATATGCCGTTTTGTAACGACGAGAAATTAATTCTTCTTCTTCTGAAAAATCGAAATTGAGCAATAACAAATTTGAAAACTTTTGCCTGAAAAAAAACAGCGAGAACTATATAAGAGTACTCACTACGTTCATTACTCTTAGGACAAAATCATCTCGAGCTATATTGTTTTCAACAAATTTATCGGACAATGTATTAAATTTCTGAAATAATTCTGACCTTCAAATTTTCAAAATACTTCTTTCAAGCTTCGCGTTTGCCTTTTTGTCGGCATTGTATGGGTTTTTCTCTGCAAAATAACCTGGCAAATCGTTGTTGAATGAAACGTTTTTTCAATAGTGCTCTTGACATAAGGCAAAAATGAAATTTTCCGAAAAAACGCAATCCTTTTGCATTGCTCCTTTGTCAAATCAAATGCAGTTTTGAAAATTCTATTGCAGTTTTAACGCCATTTCACTGTCTCAAGGTCAGCATTATTTCAAAAATCTAAGACTTTGTCCGATAAATTTGTTGAAAGCTACAGTGCTGATATAAATTAACCGGACAAAACGCGTTTAACTTGAAATTTAAAACGCATTTTTCTCAAATTGGGTTGAGTTTAGGTGAAAACTTATAGAGACAAAACTTGCTTAGAATTTTAGCAGAATTAATACGGTGTAATTTATTTTGCGCAATTCGGGCCCGAAATTTTCCCCCAAAAATGGGTCATTTTGGCTTTTCTTAGTTGATCAAAAATTACGCCGAAAATACCCAGTCGATCACAGACATAATTATATCAAAATGAGCCCCTTACGTAGCCCAACAAACTTTATGAAGGGTATTTTCTCCAAAAAAAATTGCAAATTGTTTAAAAATTGTTTTTAAATAAGAAGTTGGTATTTTATATAGTAAAAAAAGACCTTTTTTGTCTATCAAACAGTAATAAATTAACTTACACAATATTTTGGAGATTATACCCTTCTTAAAGTTTGTTGGGCTACGTAAGGGGCTCACTTTGATATAATTATGTCTGTGATCGACTGGGTATTTTTGGCGTAATTTTTGATCGACTAAGAAAAGCCAAAATGACCCATTTTTGGGGGAAAATTTCGGGCCCGAATTTCGCAAAATAAATTACACCATGTTAATTCTGCTAAAATTTTAATCAAGTTTTGTCTTCATAAGTTTTCACCTAAACTCAACCCAATTTGAGAAAAACGGATTTTAAATTTCAAGTTTAACGAGTTTTGTCCGGTTAATTTAAATCAGCACTGTATACAAGTCTTCAATGCGCTCACCGAATCTTTCAAATTAGTATGAAACGAGGATCCTACCTTTTGCACTTCAGAATTGGACAAGGTTTTCTCGTGTCTATTTTGATTTCCGAGTATCGATTCAACGCTGTAATTTGAGTCGTGCCTTTAACAGGCGAGCTATTGGCCATCAGTAGTTTTGTCTTCACAAAAATCAAGTCAGAAATCAAAGGTTTGCTGGCTTCAAAACCATCTTGCTGAAAAAAAAACTTACATTACTCCAATTTAAAAATGGCTAGGGAGGAAATAAAAACATTTACCTCATATTTCAATCTGATTTTCTCGTGCTTGCTTGAAAGTTTGTTCTCACTTTCTCTGTAGAACACCTGAAACGCAATCATTTTTCCTGTCTGTTATTTCGTCTAACTGTAGCTCCGATGTAATGCATTCAACTTCAAATTATACACAGAGGCAAAGCGGAATTTGCAAGCAGTACTTTGAATAGAAAATGAGACAGAAATAAGTCGAAATAAATATATATTTTTTGAAGAATACGAATAATTCAATTTCAGAAACACAGTCGAGAAGCACAACTGCCAGCATTAATTCAGTGTGTGTTTACCAAGCGGCTATTAAGCCGGCAAAAAGTGATTAGACGCCCACTGAGCCGAAAACAAAAAACTGTCAAAGAACAAATTGTCATAAAAAGTTTTTGAGCGATTAAGTTTTAGAACTTTGAATTTTTACACCTCCATCGACATGAATTATTTTTTAAAACAACCAACAAAATTTGCCCCTCAGACGACACAAAAAATGATGACTAGGCCAATAAAATATAAACCGAAATCATCTGGATTTAAAAAAAGTTTTTTGAGCAAAAAAACACAAGTCACGGCTAGTAAAACTTTGACAGGACAAAAACAACAACACTTGCGACTACAATAAAATATAAATATACTTACATCTCAATTAAATCCATGATGTGGCAACTAAGCCGGCAAAACATAAGCAGACAAACGAAAGTCAGAAAATTCAATTTTTCTCAGAAAAGTTTCATTTTCATATATACTGAAAAAGAAACAAAGCTCTGCCGGGACTGGAACGCTATACCTCAGGGTGCAAGTTGAGGTTAAAAGTCGAAGGGCCTGGAACAAAATATAACGCTATGCGTTCCAAATAAACTGCACCCACAGATAATTTAGTCAGAGGCGAAGTAGAGCTCCGTGCCACTTGCAATACCACATAAAATAGCATTGCAAGCTAGCAGAAATAAAAAGAAAGCCACCAAGTCCAAAAAAAAACAAAAAAAAAATTCAAAACTACAGCAAAAAACCTTCAAAATGTTACCTGGAATAATGCTCTATTTGCGGAAAACACTTACAAAAACACGATCGACAGCATTTAATAAAAATTCAAAAACAATTATCGAGCGGAAAACTTCCAAGAAACCGAAAACTGGTAAACTCCAGTAGAACCGAAAACAAAATTGTTGTCATGAAAAACTGAACTCAATCTTAGATTACAAAACTTAAGCATTTTGAGCCATCTGGAGGTGAGCAAACAAGTCGTGTTTCCCTTGAAACTACCCAAAATTGGTCACTAAACCGATAAAAAAATCGAAATTGTTGATCATAGATTTTAACTCAGAGGCGAAGCTGCACTTCGCAAACACCGAGAATACGACACGGGTAAAAATCAATAAAACCTCAGTTTGAGCATTGCAAAACTAGTCCAAACCGATTGCACCTTTCACTTTCTTTAATTTCCAAACACTATAACAGAGTTATACTCGAAACAATATCACAAAACCTTTATGTGTATGATCTTCTGGCAACATTACGTCATACAGACAAGCTGCAAATACGGCAAAAAAACAGAAATAAAAAAAACACCTCGGAGCCTATAAGATTCAACTTCGGAGCTCCTGAGAAAAACCATACGTTTCATCCAAGGATCCATAGCCTCTTGGCTTTCATAGAGGATAAAACTAAAGAAAAAAATCTGAAAAACTTAATTCTTCCTTAGCATATCTATGAGATTATTCATCGTTGATTTTAACTCAGAGGCACTTCGTAAACACAAATGACAGAACGACAAAGGTAAAAAAAATCAATTTAACCTCAACTTGAGCATTTCAAAACTACTAGTCCAAAACCGATTGCTTTTATTTGTAGATCTACTGGCAACATTACGTCATACAGGCAAGCTGCAAATACATGCGATAAAACAAGAAAAGCCACAGCAAATTCAGTACTTCCACAGCAAATCTTTGAGATTATTGATAGTGGATTAGTGAGATAATTGATAGCGGATTTGAACTCAGAGGCGAAGCTGAACTTCACAAACACAAACGACAAAAAATTAAAGAAAGGTATAAATAAGCCTCGTATTCGTCATACTTTTCATGTGTCAGGTTCGTACCTGCAACCTCGAGATTTGAAGCATCTGCGCAAGAGCCAGAGAAATTAAGCTACACTAGCTACCAATAAAGCAGAGAATAGATGCTAATAAAATTTCCAATGCTACAGATCGTGATTGTTGCGAAAGTGCCACCTAATGAGTCTTTTCATTTGCGACATTGAATGGAAAAAGTAAAGTCATATTATTACACTACGCTCGCTGACGAAATCAAAACCTTTTCTAACCCTGAAGATTGAGCAGACAGCGCATTTGGGCCATAAATGTGAATCGGATAGATTCATGGACACCTCTATTGGCATGCAGGGGTCATACTGGTCATCAAGTGCAGATTGCAACTCATCATCGGCACTTTGAGATAAACCATTTACATTTTTCGATTCTACGTAATCCTTTTTGAGCACTTCTTCTTGCTGATTGAGAGGATATCTGTCTGCCTCGTTAGTAGATTTGCTACACAATATCGGCATTTTGTTGACTCTCAAACTAGTTAGGTAGTTGTCATCTACACCTTCTTGTTCGGATTTAACTGGCGAATTGTTCATGTAAATTGAACAACCAGCTATTGATTTCTGAGGCGTCCCAGAAGCTGACGAATTGAAAGCATCAAATACGTTTTTGACTTCTGGTTCTTCCACAGCTTCGTCGCAGTCCGATAGCTTTCTACTTCCAGGGATTATACCTAAAACTACACAGCTTTAAATTTTGTCACGCATTACAGGTTTTGAACAAAAAATGCGTTTTTTAGTCCCGAGGTTATCCCATGTAATGATATGTTTTTACAGAATGAATAATTGACTTTTTAAAAAATGATAGCAACATCCTATTGCAATAACTATTTGTTCAAAATTTTTTCAACGTTGGTCGTCCAAATAGATGTCATAATTTGATACCCAGAGGGATTTCAATCTAGACCATCTTACCAAAATCATCCATGATATGAAAAGACTCCTTTGTAGCAATGGTTCAGAATGATGCATATGAAAAAGCGTACATAAAACCTAGACCAAAACTGAGACTCGCTAGGTGTAACAAAATAAAAAAAAGTTTTTCTTTGAAATTTTACTAAAGAGCTTGATTCGAATTGCTGGTTACTTTCCACTAATAAACTGTAAGCATCAAACATGACGAAAATTATTTCTATATTAACTATGAGGTCTGGAAAAAATTATCTTCAACAATCATTTAGTCGATTTACCAGGCGCCTTGTTGCTATAACCTCCCAATGAATGTGCGAACTGGTACAAAGGTTCAAACAATTTCGCCAGGTACTCAACCGCACAACTGTTAGACAAGAAGCCAACCACATTTAACACTGAGTCTTCCTCTTCGTCATTGGTCATCTGTGGTAAGTCTAGACCGCGCACATTGCGTCTCATCTTCTTCCAGAACAGGCGACATTTCTGAGGAGTCAGTTTCCAAGGCACATCCGTATCTGATGAGGTCAACTCTGATTGGCTGAAACTCATATTAACAGGCTAACTTTCTTGAACTGTCAAAAGACAGTCAAAAACAAAACACCGGGTGAATCAAAACAAAAAGGTTTGAATTGCTATTGTATGAGATTTGGCTTCAAGCTCATACGAACACATTAAAGCTAAAAGCAAACTCTATTTCAACAACTATTCTATTTGATGAATCCCTCTCAAATCCGCTCCTGGTTTATTTGAATTTGGCGTCAATTTTATTATCGTTAACTGAAATCTCAATTTTCGCTATAGAGAGAGTGAGTTTAGAAAGTGAGTTTTAAAATGTTAATTTAAAAATTAAGTCAACCTTAATGAATTGAAAGCATAGTAACGCAAGTGCTTAAATATTCTGCACTTACTCTGTCGTTATTGCCAAGTCGGTTATTACCTGTTTTGATCGCCGTGGCAGTTATCATCCGAGGCCAGCTCGGTTGAATCTGATCGATCACTATCGCAACCGTCGTCCACAAGAAAATCCACTCTCGGTCCTCGACGCTCTTCAAGATTAAGCTTTGCTGACGTCAGACAGAGGTTCTTAGGTAATCCGTTCGTTTCACTTTCGTTTGAAGCGTCTTTTTTTCTTTTTCTATTCGACGAAGAATTTGTCGTAAAGCTGAAACTTAATGTTCTTTCAAAAAGGGAAGATTTTCAAATTTAAACTGAAAACTAAGGCCAAAGCTTAAAACAGATACAAGGCTGCGCAGAACAGATGCTATGAAATTTCCAATGCTAGATCGTGATTATAGAAAAAGTTTCACCAAATAAATGAACACTTTCCACGTCCAATGAACACATTTATTTGCGAGTTAGGATATAAAAAAAGGTTTGTACTAATACACTAGCTGCTCGGTAGTGTACTGACGTAAATTTGTGAAACCTCAAATCAAGATGAATAAAATTATTACCCGAGGGCTAATGGCTCATTACAACCTGAAAACCAGTTTAAAATATCAGTCTAACTTAAGCAAGTTATGACTTCCGAAAAATGTAACTGTTCTGTTTTTGAACTTCTGTTTTAAACAAAGTGGTTACTGTGCAAATGCATGAACTCACTCAGTTCCTATTTTCTCTAGTGTGACTGAGTTAGAAGTGGATTTATGTTGTCCTCCTCTGTTGGAAGAAAGTGACAGATGTACTCTGGATTGAAGCTTTGGGTAGTGTAATTTGTGATAATCTACTCTGTTCTCGTCTGTTCCATTGCGCCATCTGAAGTATCTCTCCGGCTGGTAAAGTTGCACAAACACATCCATGTCTATCTTCACTGCATCCTCACGACAGCCGCACTAAGCAATATAAAAAGAACAATGAGAAACTTGATCAACTAAGTGATTGAAACTAAAAATAAATTACGCTAAACGATCGGTTTACAATAACCACTAATAAAGAGAGAGAAAATTCTATGAACATTTCGATGCTACATATCGTGATTATAGCAACAATGACACCAAATGAGCACTTTTATTTGCGTGTTAGCTTGGAAAAAGAGTAGAATCATACTAATACACTATAGCCGCTAGCACGCTAAGGTAAGTCAAACCGTGAATAATTAAACTTGAGCGTCAACAAATTTTAACCCTAAAAAAAACAACCTCAAAACCTATATAAAAGTATTCACAATGTTCATCGACTCTTATTCAGCTCTTGGGTATAACCAAAACCAGCGTGTTGCTGCGCAAGTTAGACAGAAACTTCCAAACGTAGCCACAAGACAGTCAATGAGCTCGTGGAAACAAAAAAAAACTGTCTTTTCAATTTGTTAAATATATGAACTTGAAAAATACATGACGTAAAATTCTTGGAATTGTTTTAGGACCGATCGAGATTTTTTCGATATAACCAACCCAATTAGAGAAATTTAGCAGACAAACGAAAGTGCCACAATTCAATTTTTTTCCGGAAGTATTTGGTCAAATTCATGCATACTGAAAAAAACAAGAGCCGGCCCCAGACAATAGGGTGCAAAGGCAACCGCGTTACTTCTAGACGAAGTGAGACTGGAAGTTTTTAAGGTCCAAAAAAGCAAGTTCAATTTCTTACAGATCTGTAAAAAAAAAGTTGCTTCTGGAACAAAAGTCTAGTTCCCGTTTACAAGACACTTGCTGTTGCAAGAGTAAACATAGTTAACAGACATTTGGAAAATGTCATGAAGTCAAGGAGACCTATTTTAAAAATATAAAACCAATTTTCGTGTTTTAAAAATAGCTTTTTGAGTTGCAAGATTATTTTAGAATTCGCCACCATGATAAAAAAAATAACCCAATTTGAGAAAACTGGAGCAAAAGCTAACATTTGTATTTCGCTGAGAATTCTGAAAGTTTAGATCCATTTTTGAATAAGAAATCATTCGCGTTTTTTGGCACCACTTGAACTTGTTGTTATTGTCTATTATACTATTACTATTTTGTATTATATTGTTCTTTTAACAAGACTGTTATACTAACATGGGTCGCCCATTTTCCGAACTCGATCCATCGTTCGGTGGCAAAATTAGTGGCTTCTGCGCAATTGAATCCATGGTTGAATCCTTGGTGATATGCAAACGGAAATGTTACAACAATTTCTCCAGCTCTTTGAACAGTCTAGAACACAGTTCATATTTGGAACAGTATCAATTTGGAACAGCCAACAGAAATACACTTGCGCGAGAAAAGAAAAAAATTTGATTTTTAGGGGTTCCTTTTTGTTAAGTTCCAAATTTGCGTCTTTGCTCCTCTCATAAAGATAATAAGTATTCGTGCCAAATTTTTTTTTAAGGATCGGTCCTCAAAATAGAGGCCGTAATTAAGTCCCAAGAGCGATTTCAGTGCTGAAAGAGGAACCATCCAGTTCATCTAATGCTATGGCGAATCAAGATGAGTTTCGCTCACTTTGGAGCAAGGGATGTTTTCTTTCTTGAGGAAGCTGGGTGATATGATTGTAGTCTTGTGTCTCAGGAAGTTCTCACACATTGTCCCTTCTGTAGGCGCAAAACGACCCTTAGCCACCACTTCAAAACGCTTCCCGTGCTCGGGCGGGATGACATACCTATAAGCACATACTTAACACAGAGGCGAAATTGCACTTCGCATGCACAAGCAAAAATATGACCGACAACGCTACTGGGAAAAACTGAATGAGTAAAACTTTGAGTCTCAAAAATTTCTTAAGTGACACACGCCAATTATGAGTCTACATAATTGCTAATTTACGCAAGCTAGCTATGACGAATTAACAGTACCAGTCAATTTGAAAATAAAAAATACCAACTAACATGCCTCAATTTATAGAGCGGACACATTTTAACTTGCATACGATAAGTTCATTAAAAACATCCGACCCTGCCCAGGTTCGAACCCTCTTATTCCCTGCCTCTACGCTACAGATCCATGATACTTTGAAGCAAAAGTGGCTGTACTCAATAGCTGGTTATTGATAAAAATGAACACTCGAACTTTCGAAACTAAAAATCGATCACAATTTTTAAGACCTTTTTGCTGTTCGATATTGAAATTTGGTTTCTTTTTGACAAAGAAACTGAGCTAAACTTGAAAAAAAAATCATCCGTCAAACATCGAAAAAACGTCATATCTCGAAAACTAAAAGCGTTTTAGCTGTCACATTTGGAGGCAAAATTCGCAATCTCTGAGAGTAAAAGCATTTTAGCAGTCACAATTGGAAACTTTGCGATCTTTGAGAAGGCCCTGACAGCACCCAACTACAGGGTTGTCCAGTCGAAACTTGTTGTATTTTTTTAATTTATGTGTCATATCCCAGAAACTACAAAGAGTTGAGCAACCATATTTGGCTGGAAGATTTGCAACGTTTGCAAGTACTCTGACAACGCCTCACTACATGGTTTGTACTTTTAAATTTCGTGGAGTTTCTGGTATCTACGTTCTATTGACAACTTTTAAAAATCATGACACGTCATACCTTTAAAACTATAAGCATTTGAGCAGTCACATTTGGAGGCAAAATTCGCAAACTCTGATAATACCTTGATAACACCCTGATAACACCCAGCTACAGGGTTGGTAACTACAAATTTTGGGATTGTTTTGAAACTTAAAAAAACCCACAAAAATCGTCGTATCGTAAACTAAAAGGATTTAAGTATTCTTATTTAGATGCTCAATTTGCAATCCTTTATTACTGGTTACCGACTAAAAATTCGAGGAAGTAGCGCATCTATTAAGCCTAAAAATTAAAACTTTGAAACAATTTTTCTAAAAAGAGCCCAAATGGCTCCGTGGAGAGGTAACCCACGCCCAATTTAGGAATTTTCAGGAAATCAACATCAAGTTTGTAGGTTTCTACCAGTTTACCTTAGGCAAAAATAACTAACAAAAAAGTTTATCAACAGTTCGGTAAAATGTTTTGATTACATCGGAGTTTGTTGATTTCTTAAATAAATCCGCCATTTTGTTTATTCAAGATTAGGGCAGCAAAGCATGTGATCCCCATGGATGCCCTCTCTAAAGTATTATGCATAAATGTTGTTCAAATTTAATTGATGTTCATCTATACCAGAGAAATAAATTCCTCTACTTTCAATTATTTTATAAATGATTTAGAACTATCTTAAATGGGTTTCGAAAACCTAGAAAAAAGAAAGAAGCAAGCGGTGCCGGTTAGAAATCCCGAGTCAGTGCCTTCAGTAGACTTTTTCACCTTACCATGTCTTGGGTTCTCCGTAGTGTATGTAATTGATGCTGTATAGATCCATATCTTCTGTGTGCCAGGGAAAGGTCGCTTTCCACATCCCATAGTACAAGTAGGGAGTGTTCACACCCACTATGCGAACATTCTAGAACAATGCTTAATGAAAACAAGTATAACCAATTGCTGAGTAAGAAGCACAGAAACTTGCAACCACAAATATCACTGCAAAAAAAAATGGATGGGTTTTCGGAGTGGTTTACAAAAAAAATATATATCTTACCCTTTTTCATAATAAAAAACTTCTGATTTCCTAACAAATTTTGGGGGATGTAGGAGGCGCTTATTAGCTTTTCTCTTTGTAACTGCCGTACAAAATTCATCGCAAAGCATTCTCTTAGCTCCAAATTTGTCCGAAAACCTAAAATATTCAAACCACTTTTTCACGAGACTGAATAATGTTCTAAGTAAATTTAAATATCAATCGAATCACGACGAAAAAGGCTTAATCACTTCCCAACCCGTCGTAGGATTCGGAACAAAAACGAGTGATTGAAAAAGATACTGAGCTTGAATTTGAAAAATGAGGAAAAACGCGAGCGACGAAACGAACTTATTCAACAAAAGAAACCATGACCAAATTAAAAAGTATAACTTGCGTATAAGGGTTTAACACAGAGGCGAATTTGCGTTTCGCAAAGACTAGTGAGAAAACGACAAAAAAGCAGCTTCATACGATGCAATAAGAAAAAGTATAAATACGCCTGGAATTAGTAAAAATTCGTCTACGTCTCAGATTCGATCTGCAAGCTAGATATCATGTATTTCGCGCACTAACCACTCGGCCACGGACGCTTAATATAACGCAAACATTTGCCACAAATAAAGCAGAGAACAGATTCTATGAAATTTCCAATGATGCAGGTCGTGATTACAGCAAAAAAGCCACCAAATAAGTGAATACTTTTAATGAACACTTTTATTTGTGAGTTAGGTTATCAAAAAAGAAGGCTCGTTAGTGTAAAAAACCATTTAATCTGCAGTTGGCATACATTGACAAACAACGCAATAAGAACGCAATACATTGACCATTTTCAGCACTCATTATATAATAATTTCAGCACTCATGGTCGCGGCTTGCCTGCTTGGAGACTATGTCCAGAAGCGAGGGTAGTCTTTGGAAATTCCACACATCCCAGCTGGCATCTGTGACTGTGTCGTCTATGTCTGCCCCATAGATGGGCTGCACTAGTGTCATGTTGCGCCAGTACTTCCTCTCCAACTCATCCCAGCCAGCCTCGTCCCGTGTGTGTACTGGTGCCATGTATCTAGAACCAAAGGCAACAAGTTACACGCATACAGCCAAAAATAATTGACAGCTCATTTAATTATGGTTAACTTTAACTTAAGAACCGGCAGCTTTCATTGCCTTTATGCTTTTCTAGAAACCAATTAGTATGTAATTTGCAAGAACATCTTTATATTCACACTCGGTGACCAGTTCAAATTTATCAGACAAAAATGGCTTAAAATAGGACCAAATTGCATTGAAATTTACTTAAAATAGTTTTAAAAAAAACGAGTTCAGTTACATAAAACGACAAGTTTTAATGATCGATTGCGCAGCTCACTTGTCAGACATGGCCATGTCTCTGAAGTGTCTGACAGTGATCTTCTTGGACAGCAGAGTGTTTATCTGTCTGTACACTCCTCCACTCCCGTCCACCGTCTGTCGGATGGGATTCTGCACTTGTGCACTGTCGAACTGGGAATAGTCAGTCTGTGGCATGTACTCCTTAGGAGGAATGATCTGCAAGAACACCCACCAAAACACTATACAGGTAACAGAACACGATTGCAACTAACACAACAGCCAGCTAACTTCAGCTAGAGCATCACACTAAGCCAGCATAATTAATCATTTCATTATCAATTCTAGTCGAAATAGGGATTGCTACATTACCAAGAGAGAGAGAGAGAGAGAGAGAGAGTGAGAGAGAGAGAGAGGTCCAGATGAACAAACTTCAGTATAAAAAGTAGGTTCAACAAGGGTGGAGTAAATTCCGATGGGAGGAAAAAATGTTTTTTTTTAAAGAAGGTAAGCAAGTTAAGGTTTCTCTCTGATAATTATCTTCTGCCTAATTTAGTATCCTTCTAACAAGATGATTCGGTCGAAAATTCTCAAGCAAAGCACATTCTGATACAAAAAGTAATATGGGTACAACTCATGATCAAAACTGATTTGTACTTGTCATTCCATAAAAAGAGTGATAAGTACAAAAATTAATTAAGACTTACATACTTTGCAAATACCGGTCTTGTGTGCTCCCATCGCCTCCGCTCTACGAATGCAGGCCTGGAAATCCTGGAACTCTTCCCAAGATGGTCTGTAAGTGAACACCGGAAACTCCCCGCCCCCACTCAGACATTTGCTCACACCTTCTATCTCAATCCCTTCACAGCTACTCCACTTCTGTTGCCAACTTTCCATGCTAGACTGCACTACCCTCGAATACGCAGAGAAGCACGACCAGTAAAAAGACCAAACAGGCGACCTCACATTTCTTATCTAAAAAGCCTACTATTAAGCTACTGCATGCCACTTGAAACGTGCCACAGAACTGAGGAAACCTTTATAAGCTTGGTAAACTGGGCAAAGTAACCAAAGAAATAAAACAAACATCTATTGAACCATTTTTCTGAACTTGAGTTAATGTGGGAAAAACTAGCAGGGTAGACGCTGAAAACACTAAAGCGTTTACATATCAGGATATATAATCAATGTGTAAAACTATATTAAAAAGGAAAACTAAGTGTTATTCAACAAAACGAACACCTCAATTCCATTTATCAATCTAAACAGTTTTTTGCCACAGAAGAATTCCACAGAACAAAACGAACACCTCAATTCCATTTATCAATCTAAACAGTTTTTTGCCACAGAAGAGTTTTTCAAAATCGATCAAATTGCGATTTAAAGAGCGTTAAAATGGTATTTCATGCTACTTCATCTGATGAATTGTGGTAACTGGTTTGGAGTGGAAAAAAAACACCCGAATGGAAAGACTCTTTCAGTGGATGGAGCAAAAAACAGTTCAAACAAGTAAATAGAAAACAGCAGTAAGCAAATGTTAGACCATAAAAATCAGCGATTAGGAAGCAATCGGTGAATTCAGCAAAAAAATACAAGCACTGCAAAGCTTCCAGCCACTTGCGATGCAACAGAATTAAAGCATGGCAAACTAGCCGACCAAAAATAAAACACAGTTCTCAGAAAAAAAACGCTATGAAATCAATTAGGGCAATTAAATGATAATTGATCACCGAAATAAACTTACAAGGCGGTAACAAAGCCGACAATACCTGAGCAGAAAAATAAATATTTGAGCCAAAAATAAATCTAACTTGAAAACTCAGAAAAGTTTTCAAGTCCCACCTCATAACATGAAATAACGATCTTGTTCGAAATTGGACAGCTTAGCGAATATAAAATAAATCGAAACCTTTAAATCCGAAAAAAGCGAGAAAAAGAACTGATTACTGAAATCAGATTTGGTAAATTTATAACCAACAGAAAAAAACTTCGAATCGAACAGGCATATAAAATGCAGACATTCTCAAAGTTTGTCTCTTAGTTGACGAAATTACAGAATTTGAGTCATTCTGTGAACAAAGTTTTTACGGAAAAAATCTAGTACCCGGTTGCATGGGTATTATTGAAAACTCCGAGCTCAAAAAAGTGAACTTGTAAACGATTGCTTAGAAAAACGAACAGAATAAAAGCTTGCTATTAAGATATCATTGAAACTTCTGGCCAGCAAAAGCTAGATAATTTTTAAGAATACGTACTGATTCAACAGGTAATGCGTATTTTGCAACACGTCTAAGACTGGAGTTTTCGCAAGTCTCTAGTGATTTGCCTAACAACATTATGAAGTACCGCTTAAGCAGGGGAGGGAATACCTATCACGTGGTTTTTTGCTTGCACCCTTAATCTCAGAATTTGCAGGGCCGATTTGGAGAGAATGAGTAAATTCCAATTTATGGGTCAAAATTCCCAGGGAGCTGAACGTTCTCCAGGCCGTAGATAAGGTAAAAAGAGACTAGCGGAATATGCAAAAAGCAGAAGGAAAACGCTGATTTTCCATTGATACAATTTTGGTGAAAATTGTCGGAGTGTTTTTCAGAAAGCGAGACATTTTTGAGAAGGTAAGCGTAATGCATTAAAAAAAGTAATTTTTGAATCGGTTTTCAACCCTTTCCTCTATCAAACTCAGTTTTATCAGTGTAAAGAATCTTTATCAAACTCTGTTTTATCAGCGATGCATCTAACGAAATTTGAAGAAAAAAAACTGGAATATTGGATACTTTTTCCGAAAAAAGTTTCTAAAAACGGTCAAAGTTCAAAAAATTCTTTTTCCGAAAGCAAGATAATTAGGGGCCCAGCTAAAGCTCGAAGTACCGCTATAGCTGGAGGTTTGATGATTTTTGAATTTGTTATACTAATGTGGAAAAAGGTAACTTCAAAAAATCAAAAATTGGGCTTCACCCAAAACCTTGGTAGTTTCTCTGATAAAATAAGAGACATTTTTTGAGAATTTGTTATTTTCTTTGTGATATCAGATTCGGGATAGCAAGTTTCAACTTTTGTAAAAAATTTCAAAAAAAACGGTCAAAACATCATATTTTTTTCCGAAGGCCATAACTGTTTGTGTAAGAAAAACTGAAAGTAGCCATTTATATGGAGGAGCTTCAAACAGCCTGTTTTTGGATTTAACCCAAAACTCAGATTTGGAAGAGTCAAAATTCAGAAAAGTCAAAAAGTATTAAAAAAACGATCAAAAAATATTTGACTCTTCCAAAGACCAGGGGAGTTTTATGCAGGGGAGTTTCACCCAACCTGTTCTTTCGATTGAAATCTAAATCTCAGATATTGGACGGTAATTTTCGAGAACAGCCAGTAAGTTTCAAAAAACGGTCAAAAGTCACAAATATGACTGTTTCGAGGACGATAACTATTTTGGTTAAGAACAACCACGATCTTTTTTTCCATTGAATCCAAAATCTCAGATTTGTGAGAGTAAATTTTGAGGAAAGTTCAAAAACATTCAAAAAGCCAAACATTAGACTTTATGCAGCAGAGCTATCCAAAATCAGCTTTTTTATTGAAATAAAAATATCAGATTTGACAGGGTACTTTACCAGGAATGTCAAAGTTTCAAAAAAAGCCAGAAAATCGAAAACCTGACTTTTTTGAGGAAAATAACTTTTGTCGAAGAAGTTTGTCTTTAGCCACTAAAGCAGGGGAGCTTCTCATAATTAGTTCTCTCCATCAAACTCAAAATCACAGATTTGGGTGAGTAGCTTTCGCGAAACGTTTCAAAAATGGCCACAAAATAGAAAACATGAAGTTTCCGAGGGCAATAACTTTTTTCAAAAGAATATGGGTGCAGCCGCTTATGCATGGTAGCTTCCCATAGTCCGGTCTATCCATTGGACGCAAAGTATCAAATTTAGGAAGGCAGTTTTTTGATAAAACGAGAAAAATCTGGTCAAATATTCCCCGCACAGCCTTTTTGAACGCTGTAGAAAGTGATGTAAGGTAGAAAAAAGACTAGCGGATTAAGCAGGCACACCGAGGAGGTAGCAGACTTTCCATTGCTTCCACTTTTTAGAAAATCGACTCAGTAGCTTTAAGGAAAAACGGAAATTTTTGAGGCATCAGAATTTCAAAAGCATCTAAAAAAACCGTTTTTAAAATACCTTTTTTATCAAACAGAAACTTTTTTGCTTCTGAAAGTAAGTCGAACCCGAATCGGAAGAGAAGACTCCCAAAACCGGATTTCTCGATCGACCACTTAACCTGAGAATTGGCGAGGTGGTTTTCCAGAAAAGTCAAGTGTCCAAAAAACAGTTCAACTTAAAAAACTTTCATTTGTTTTAAGGAATAACTTTTTTCGAAAAAGTATTCATAATTTTCCGAGGGGGCCATAACAAAAATACTTGTATTTGTCAGGATGCTAGGCAAACCTGCCAAGCAGGACATTTGAATACCAAATTAGCAACGCAACAAAACTTACGAAGCGGAAACAGAGCCGACAATTTTTGAGCGGACAGCAATTGAGTCGATTTTTGATTAAAAGTATAAAATAATTCAAGTCTCAACTGGAAATACAATAAAAAACACTTGCAACTAACATGACACTTGCTTAAAGTACATAAAGAAAAATCCGCGATGTGGCAACAAGCCGACAAAACTTGAGCAGATAAACGAAAGTCCGAGAAATCAATTTTTACCGAATTTTTTTTTAATTTACACACATACTGAAAGAATAAGGTCCACCGAGATTCAAGCCCCGGACTTGAGGGTGCAGAGGCGATGGCGTTAGCTCTCGGCCAAGTGCGAAGCAACCTGGAGATTTTAAGATTCAATAATAAAGGAAGTTGAAAATTTATCAGAAAACTTGTTTGCGGAAAAAAATATAGCTCCCGATAAGAGACACTTGCTTTCTCAAAAGTAACACATAGGCGAAGCGGAGCTTCCCACCACTTGCGATGCAACACAAACCTAAAACATAGGCGCTACGCGCAATACACCGAAGGCATAGAAACTGAAGATAAAACCAAACAACTTGAACAACTAATAATTGAAGAATAACAGTTCTAGAACAAAAAATCGTACTAATACATGTATACACCAAAATTTTGCTATATCGAGAAAGAGCCTGAAATAACAGTTCTAGAACTAAAAATCGTACTAACACATGTATAGGTTAAATTTTTGATATATCAACGAAGATCATAAAATAACACTTCTAGAACTAAAAATCGTACTAACACATGTATACACCAAAATTTTACTATATTGACAAAGAGCCTGAAATAACAGTTCGTGAGCTAAAAATCGTACGAACACATGTATACACCAAAATTTTGCTATATTGGCAAAGATCATGAAATAACAGTTCGAGAGCTAAAAATCGTACTAACACATGTATACGTCAAATTTTATCTATATTGACAAAGATCATGGAATAACAGTTCTAGAGCTAAAAATCGTACTAACACATGTATACACCAAAATAAATAAAGATGAACAAATAAAGAAACAAACATACGCAATCACGTGACATAGCGCGATATAGTCCAGCCACATGATAATTGATAACTGTGGACGTTATTTGTCGACACTTGACAACAGACAACATTAAAAAAAAACCCGTTACACGATACCATAACACCTTGACTAAAGTCTTCGGTGTAAAAAGTCAAAAAAAAAATTCAGACGTTGAAGAAAACAAGGTGAACTAAAATTTTGAATGTCACGATAAAAAACAACTACGGGCGCAGCTAACGCAGGAGGTACGGGTTTGATATTGAAAGAACTTGCTATACTGACGCAGCTCGAAAAGTATGATTTTAAAATTGGACTTTGCCTAAGACCTTAGATGTTTCTTTACTAAAATAAGTGTGAAGAGTCAGAAATTTCGAGATCAATTTTCCCAAGGAGTTAAATTTCACTTCCAAAAATTTAAAGAATCGCCGCTTCTGAGAAACAATTATCGCAACCTGTTCTTTCAATGAAGTTTTCATCTCAGATTTGATTGTGTTACTATAAGAAAATTCAAAAAGTTTCCAAAAAACGATCGAAACTTCTAAAAAACGTTTAAAAGACTTTCCAAAATCCATATCGTTTTTCTGAAAACAGCAGGTTATGGCCGCTTAAGCAGAGAAGATTTCTGAAGCCGGGTTTCTCTATTGAACACAACTTGAGAATTGGACCGGTAGTTTTCGTTTAAAGCCAAAAAGTTTCCAAAAAACTGTCAAAGATTCAAAACTTTGACTTGTTTGAAGGCCATAATTTTTTTCTCAAATAAACTGGGCATAGCCAATTATAAAGGTAAGCTTTTAACAACCTGTTCAATCGATTAAACCTATAACATCGGATTTGGCAGAATAGTTAGCGAGAAAAGTCCAAAAAACGGTTAACTAATAAAAAATTTGACAATTCCGAGAATCATAGCCGAGAATCATAGCTTTTAGTGTGAAAAAATGATGCAGAAACGTTATGCAGAAGGCAATCCTGCAACCTGTAATTTTAGTTTTAGGGTAATTTTAGAGAAAACTTTCAAAAAAAACAGTCACAAAATCACAATTATTACTTTTCTAAGGGCCAGCACTTTTTGAGTTAAAAAAATTGGGCGTATTCGCATAAGCAAATGAGCTTCCCGAAACCCGTTCTGAGAATTGAACCCATTCCCAAATTTTTTTTTAAAAAATGGTAAACAAAAATTTGAATTTTCAGATGGCGACAAATTCTTGTGTAAAACTTTTTGTTAGTGTCCACTAATGCATAGCAGCTTCCCACTACCTTTTATCTCCTTGAATTCACAATATCGGATTTGAGAGATTAGTTTTTGAGAAAAGTCTAAAAGATTCAGAAAACGGTCAAAAATAAAAAATTTGACTATTCTGAGGGCCATAATTTTGTGCAAAAAAAAATTGGTCGTTACCACTTATGCAAGGACACTTTTCAAAACGGTTCAATTTATAAAACCAGAAGCTCATTTGTGAGAAGAGCAATTTTCGAAAAAACAAAAAAGAATCTAAAATATGGTTCGAATATTAAGCCACTCTTTTTCGAAGGTTGTAGACAGAGACTCTATGGTAGTACACATTCACACAGTGGACTAAGCGGTCTTTCAATTAATCCCCCTTTTTAAAAATCAGGAAAAATTTCTGAGAAAAACTAAAATTCTTGCAAAAAGTCAAAAAAAATCCATAAACAAAAAAAAAATGAAATATCAACAAGACGATTGGCAAACATAGAACCAATTTGAAAAGTGCACAAGAAATCCAAAATGGCTAAAATTGTGTTCATGTTGACACGGCCATAGGTCAGAAGGCCGCTGAGAAATAGGCCAAATTAAATTTGGCCGAGGAACTTTTTTAGCGAAACAAAAAAAGTAAATACGAAATCAAGGTAAGTAAAATTACAATATGTAGGCATAAATCAATCACTAAAAATATCATGAAAGAAAAATCGCACAGACAAAAATCCAAGAAGCGACAACTAAGTCGACAACAGATAAGCAGACAAATAATTGGCCGACAATTTTATTTGAAACAGAATATTTACCGTTTGAAAAAAAAAAACAGTTGCTGGTCAGATTCGAATCCACGACCTTTGCCATCCCAGACATTTTCGTTACCTCCAGGCTAATTTGGCCGGAAACGCCAAATTATTTCAATGCATTATAAAACAAGGTAGAAATGTGTCCAGACGTCCAGTGAGCATAGTTGTTTACGGGGAAAAGTCTGGTACCCGGTTTCACTTTCAATACCCTTGCTTATCAAAGGGTAATAACAGAACTTAATTTGTTTCCAAATGCAGAAAAATTATTCACAACATTCCAAGAAAAAATCTCAGCACTTAAACAACAAAAATGCAACTCAAATAAATTAAAATATTTAATTTCCCATGAAAATGCATAGCGAATCAAAATGAATAAAACATGACAAAAAGTGTATTGCGAAAAAAAAACAAAATATTTTTGATTAAAAACGCCGCAAAATTAACATAGCCAATAGACAGTTGGAAAAGAGTCAATGAAGACAGTTGGAAAAGAGTCAATGAACTCCTAGAATTTCAATTTAAATTAATGATTGACACTTTTTTGATTTAAAAAAACTATATTTGAGAAAAGTGGATCATTTGGTTAAAAAAATTGTATGCTGCTGGAAAATCAAAGAAATTAAATCAATTTTCGAAATAAGATGTCAATCACGTTTTTAGTGACCCTTACTTATTTGCTTTTCAAATATTAGAACGACCTATATTATAATCTTCACTAAAATCTACGCAAAAAAAATCCAGTTTGACATTTTTCTAGTAAAAAAAAAACAAGAAGCACGATCGAAATAGTCGTCTTCATTTGGTTTAATGGAACAAATTAGATTGCCGTAACGCTCCTTTATAACAAATAAAACTTATAACACAGACACTGTTTTGATAAAAATCAACGTAGTTAGAGATAACTGGAGTTCTCGCGGAAATGCCTTTTCCGCGTTAACTCCGAACGAAAAACTAAAAGCGAGTATTCAAAAAATCCAGTCGCCGAAAAAAATTTGAAGAATTTCTCAGAAAAACACGACAGAGTAAGTGAAAACTCGAGGCCGTCATCAAAACAAGAAAAATGATTTTCATGTATTGCTTTGAAAGAAATTTCAGTCAATTTTCATTCAAATCTAGCTGAACATTTACTATGTAAAAGAGTGAAATAGCTATGAAAAAAATATAATCACAAAGAATAGCATGAAAGCTACGTGACAAATGATTTAGACAAAAACCACTCGGTCAATTTTTGTCAATTTGATTTCACGAGAGTAAATATCACAGATAAAAACAAACAATCAGTTTTAATGACAAAATTCCAAATATAAGTTCTTGCATTAGTCATATGCCCCCTTTGAATGCTAAGCATAACTCGGATACAAGAGCTATGAAACCTCAATACTAATTCCTTGCCGTAGAAAGGCACTCAATTATTTAAAAAATATATCGAAAATTGTGTACTTTAACAGGAAAATATTTCATCGCATTTAGAGAAAAATATGTAAATCAAATTATCTAAGTGCAATTTACATTTATCATCTACTCAAAAATATTGACAACAGCAGATAAAATGTCAATTGTCTCTGCTCTCAATCTGAAAATCCCTCGGCATGATTAAGTCTAATGGATTGAACAGTACTGCGCTACTGAATCGATTGACTCGTCAATGATTTATCACTATACCACAGTTGTAATTGGATAAGTGCAATTTCTACCTACTGAATGCCAAATATTTAACTTGAACTAAACAGTTTTTACATAGAAGAGAACTGGAACTCATTGAAAGTGTTTCTAGGATCATACATAGGACCCCCGCCGGGAGCCATCATCATCGGATTTTGACCAATGCCACCCGGTTGACCATCGGGCCCCCCTCCCGCCATCATCATGTTCTGGGATGAGGGCATCATATCTGGACCACCCTGCATATGAATACCATGAGACATTGGTGCGGCAGGGTTATTCGAGCTTGGAAAGTCAGGATTGTCTTTTGATTTTTCCCTTGTTTTTCCATCCGGCAGATACTCTACAGTACCTTTAGGCGTGTCTGATATGGGTTTGAAGTCGCTTAAGCTCGAGTACATTTCAAAGTTGGGTGCTCTGTGTATCTGCGTGGGTTGAGAAGCCGTATGCATTCCATTTGATTCCATATGTTGATTCCACATTTGCTGCTGGTGCGTGTTGTTTGAATTCGGAGCAGACGGTGGCATGCCCTGACCAGCAGGGTCAAATCCGGGTCCATATTTATTGTACTGGTTCATCTGAGACGGCATAGAGGTATTGGTCATTGCAGTGGAAGGATATCTGTTGCTCTGCACCTGCATGTTAACCGCCACGTTTGTCCTCAGATTAGGACCCTGAGGAAGTGCTGATCCCTGGACGTTGAATTGGGCTCCATTCAAATTGCTTTGAACCATGAACCTGTTTTTATCAACATTGACAGATATTTGGCGCTGGTCTCCACCTCCTGACATCATGTTATGATATCCCAACTCATCCATATCATAGCCACCTTGTTGCTGTTGTGACATCATATTAGGGTCTAGAGACTGATTTGAGCCAGCGGTGGAATCAGATTGCACTTGCTTCACAGAGTAGAAGTCAGAGTTTGCGCCTGGCTCATTTGCAAAATTCTGCTGATATGGCATTTGGGAGCTGTACTGACTATTGGGTCCAGGCATGTGTGAAGGCATGTCTTGATGAGGAGGTCCAGCTCCATTGAACATACCCGGATTTCCCATTCCTGTATACGGTTGCTGAGGACTCGGTCCCTGTGAGTTGACTTTTGACTGATTAGGTTCCTGTTTCATGGGCATTGGATTGTTCATCATCATCATTGGATTATTGTTTGGAGCCTGTTGCATTTGATAATTATTGCTCATGTTGGGGACCTGAGACGAGGAAGGCATAGCAGGCGGCTGCTGATTCGACATGTTGTTCATTCCTGGTGAATTTCCATTTCCACTTCCTATTGTCATGATTACGTTAATCATCGAATTGTTTCCAGTAGGTTGTTGTTGCTGAGGTTGTGGAACTGGCATTCTCTGCTGCTGCTGAAATGAAGCCATAGACGTTGGTACACCACCAGGGTACTGTTGTCCGCCGGGTACTTGGTTTGAATTAGCTCCTTCTGCTGAACTTCCAAGACCCCCAGGCATCCCATTTCCTGGAATGAAGGGCATCATTGGTCTGCCAGGCTGAGCCGAATTCATGTTCATAGGAGTATTTGTGCCATGGGTCATACCACTTAACCCAGGGCCTTGGCCGGGTATAGTTTGCTGGCCTGGATTAATACCAGGCTCCTGGACACCATTCGGAGGAGGAAACATCATATGAGCTCCAGTTCTTGTATTCTGTGAATACATAGGTCCCATTCCTGGAGGCATAAAAATACCTCCTCCGGGACCCGGTGCTCCAGGATGCCCGGCCATTCCCATAACATTGTGAACGTGGTTGATATTGCAGCCAGGTCTACACTTAGGTACCATATGGGGATGCATCGCTGGGTTCATTCTCAAAGCCGGATTTGCATGCATTTGAGCAGCTAGATGGGGAGGTGTCCCAGGAGGCAGGTAGGGCGATGGACCGCCAGGAATTGCAGAGGGATGGTGTCCCATTGCTATCATTTGTCTGGCTGCCGGGTGGAGCTCCCTTGGACCACTCATTTGATGCATACACATTCCCTGCACGCAATTTGCGTGATTGTGCTGTTGCTGCTGCTGTTGTTGACGCATCAAGTCTTGTCTGATGGCTGCAGCTCTGTTTGCAGCAGCCATGGCCACGGCGTTTGCTGTTTGGTTGCCACCTCCCATTGGAGCTATCATTCCTGGAGGCGCTCCTGGAGGCGGGTGACCCATCATTGGGTGCATCATCCTCTGGTGATGATGCATTGCTGCTGGATTCATTGGGTGCATTTGACCTTGAATATTCGGCTTGCAATCGTTCATGTTCATTTCATCATCTAGCAGGGATTTTTTAAGTGTTTTCAAGTACTCCGTTTTCATTGCACGCTTTGACAGCAGGTCTTGAGAAAGATTCGACTGTGAATTGTTTTGGGATGTGGGCATCTGAGTGTTTGCGCCACTGCTGCCATTTGTCCGACATGACTCTGCTTCCTAAAAAAAACAAATTCAATTTATAACAAAGATTGCCGGTTGCTGTGCAAGTGGCACAGAATGTTCCGACCACTAAAAAATACATTTTTTTTTTCAAACTAGTGTAGTTTTTTCGGCCTGATGTGATAAAAGGATCGGAAAAAAACCAGAGGTTAGGCAAATTCGACAGTCATAGTAAAATAAGCAAATTGAAAAATAATTTTTCTAGAAAAATGACTAGAAAAACGAAAAAACATGTTGAAAAATGTTTAAGTTTTTTTTTCAAAATTTTGAAGTTTTTGATTCCAAAAAGGCACAAAAATACTCACAAGAACTAACGTTACCTCAAAAAAATTTTCCAATTCAAACAAAGCTATTGTAAGCTGTTAGGCTATTAAAATAGGCAATTGTAAGCCTGCTCGCTCGTATAAACACAAAAAACCAAAGAAATTTCTCGACACTGAGATAACTTTTTGAAAATTTTAAATGTGGTTCGAATCACGACTGTAAGGGCTTTATAATGATTTATCACTCGACTCTTTCTGATGATTATTTGTGACAGCTAATTATGCGTGGAAAACAAAAAAAACTAAAACACCAGAATACAAAGTTCCTCCCCATTTTTCAAATGGTCGGAACAAAAAGTGAAACAAGATAATCATGAATCAATTGCTTCCGATTCTTAATTATTCAATTTATGACTTCATGAAAAAAGAAGACTTTCATTAAAAATTCTATACATTCAACTCAGCCAACTGATGCTTAGGACAATATAAAAGAACAATTAAATAAAAAAAAAGTTGATTGAAAATCTGTGATTAACTTTCCAATTTCGAAGAAAATTATATATACCGTTAAGCTCTATGAATTTCTAGGATGGTTAACGATTGGCGCTTTTTTTCATCTCTTCTATTCGATAAAAACGGGCACATTTTTTTCCGCTAGGAATTCAGAAAATTTAAAGCCATTTTAACACCTATACACTTGTGATGTTCGATAATGGAGCTTGCCTTACTTTTATTTTTAAAAATGAACTAACACTGGCGACGAAAAAAAATTAGGTGAATCAAAACTTTGGTTACCCAAACAAGGTGAACCAAAATTTTTTTATTTCTCGATAAAAAACAACTAGGGGCCCTACTAAAGCTGGGGGTACGTGTTCGATATTGAACGAATTTGCTATACTGATCCGGCACAAAAATGATATTTCAAAAACTCAATTTTGCTCAAAACCTTAGTTGTTTTTCTGTACTGAAATAAGTGGGAAAAGTGAAAATTTTTTTGAGATAATCAATTATCGCAAGAAGATAACATCTCTCTTACAAAAACTTAAGGAGTCGCCGCTTCTGCAGGACCAATTATCGCAATGGATTCTTTCAAATGAACTTTTCATCTCACATTTGATTGCGTAAATTTGAAAATTCAACAAAAACTTTTGAAAAACGTTTTAAAAACAAAAGTTCTAAAAAAGGGTCAGAAAACTTTCCAAAATCCATAACTTTTTTTCCAAAAAGCAGGTTGTGGCCACTTTGCAGAGAGAAGTCGAAAACGAAAAAAAGCAGGTTGTGGCCACTTTGCAGAGAGAAGTCGAAGACTAAGAAAAATGAAATTTGAACAAACCGATTAGAAAAATGCGAAATAAAGTTGAAAAATGCGTAGACGAGAGTTTAAATTGTGTTTTCTTTGAGATGAACCAAAATCAGGTCAGTAAGACGTTGAAAAAAGGCCGAAATAATTTGGGTCGCAGACCTTTTTTTAGCGAAATAAAAAACACAGGAAATACGTAGTCAAGGCAAGTAAAATTACAAATTGTAGCAGTAAATCAAACACTAAAGGCAACATAAAAAAATACGCGTAGCAAAAAAAATTCCAAGATGTTACTACTAAACCGACTACAGATAAGCAGACAAATAATTGGCCGACAAATTTATTTGAAACAGATTTCCAGTTTGAAAAGAAACAGGCTCTGGTCAGATTCGAACTCCGGACCTTTGCCGTCCCAGGAACATTCGTTAACTGTGGGCTAAATCGGCCGAAAACGCTGAGAAATTTGACCAAATTATGAAAAAAGGTAACTAGAGATGACTCCGGACGAGTCCTGTGTACAAATCTGTTTATGGGAAAAGAGTCTAGTAACCGATTGCAATACCCTTGCTTATCACAAGGGTAAAGATGAAAGGCAAATTTAAAACTATAATGAATTCTGTTGAAAAAATCTTTGGCTAAAAACCTACTTTTGGTAACTTTTAAAAAATCAGTTTTCGAAAACACAAGGACCCGGGCTACACAAACTCAATTCTGTTCTTTCTCATAACTACTAGATCGACAAACGATTAAAAATTCTTGAAATCTTATAGAAGAGTCGATTGCTGAAAATGGTTATCACTGTAGGACATAGGTTAGCAAGCTCTTGAACAACTACAAAAAAGCAGTTGACTAAAAACTGATAAAAAATTAAACAAGTAAGCTAGGTATAATCTCATGATTTCAATTATCTTCACTTAAAATATAATAATCACAGCATGCCACAAAAAAAAGCGAGTAAAATTTAATCTACCTCAGTGGAAAAAAAAACAAATCACAAAAAGTTTTTATTGAAGTTCTTACAATTTTTGGTTTTTGATAGAGTGTCGCTCGGAGAAATTGATTGTAGGCATATAAATATGAATTGCGAAATCTGAATCTACTTTCTAAAAATTATTTACTACGCAAATAGGAAATTAAGGTAAATGAGCCGACAGAGTTGAAGCCGACACTTAACAAGCTGAAAGTAATCCAAAACCTTTTCGGAAAAAACATTACACGTACAAATTGCACAGACCAATAACGGACCCTGACAAAGAAGTACATGTAAGAAGTACATCAAAAAGAGCATAGCAATGGTAAATTAATCAATTGAACATTCTTTGAACAATTTAGGAGAAAAAAATCTAGTGCCCGCTCACGTGAAGACTTTCCTTAAAAAATTATTACAAGCTGAACGATTGTCTTCCCAAACACAAAAAAACATGGCCAACAGACAGTTGGCAAAAGGTCTCAAAGTTATATGGCCTTAAAGCTCTTTGAATTTCAACAACAATTTATGATAGTTACAAATTGACATCGAAAAACAAATTTGAGAACACTGGACCACTGGGTTATTTTTTTATTCCGTTGGAAGCCTTAAAACTGAATTCCACTTTCGAAATTAAGAATCTTTCACAATTTTTCGCGCCACTTGCGCTTTTTATTTGGAGCGCGCGTTTTAGCGTATTTTTAGGAAATGAACTTGAATTAAACCTAAACAAGCACATATACCTAAGTGCATTCATGAATGTATTAATATGTAAGAATGCACTTCTGAAGTTCTTAGCGCATTTTCAGGTTTTTCCTGAAAAAAAGTATCACCAAGACCTATATAAGTGTCCTCACTACTTTCATCTACTCATAAATAGTCACCACAACCAATATAAGTAAAACTTAAAAACCAAAAAAATCATCACAACAAATATACGTGACAATCACTTCGTTCATTTACACTTAACAAAGCAGCAAACATATTATCAAAATTAATAAAGTAATTTGAAAGTCTAAATAATGAGACAATTTGAAGTGTTTGTCTAACCTATAAAACACTATTTGGTAAAAATTTATATTTTAAGAATTTCTTTTGAAAAAAGTCCCAAAAAACTTCCAATCCACTTAATTAGAACAGTCAACAGACAGTTGGAAAAGAATCAAGGTACGCAAGAAACAGAAAAAGATCTGACTTTTGAACTTCAAAGAAGAAAATATATGGCCTTAAACCTCTTTGAATTTCAAAAACTATTCATAATTGAAAACACTTCAATTTCAAGAACAATCCATAATTGCATTTGTTTAAATATGAGAAAACTGGATCAACAGGCACTTTTAATTTAGCTGTGAAACACAAATTTAAAATCCACTTTCGAAACTAAAAATTGATCACATTTTTCGTGATCTGTGCACACTTTTGCTATTTAATAGCGGAACTTGCGTTCCCTTATAAAAAGGACCTGAACTGAATTTAAAAAGAAATCAAGTCAAACCGAGAAAAATAAAACTTAAGTGGGAACAATTTTTAAGACATTTTACTGAAAAAAAAATTACATATATATATACACCTTCACTGCGTTGATTGACTCTTAAAAATCACAAAAAGCACATTCCAAATTATTAATTTTTTGACTTAACCAAATAATCATAAAAGTTCAACATTCACCAATAAAATTTCAGAATATTGATACCTCGTCCCTTTTTCATCAATTTCTGCTAACCTCAAGCTACTTTTCCGTTTCTTATTGTTGCTAATATGCGAAGTAAAATCTTTCTTTCTGCCTCATTCATACTTTTTTCTAAATATAAAGGCTTTGCGGCAAAAAGATAACTATAAAGGATTATTTTTTACAAAGAGTGAATTTGGAAACCAGCTAAAATTTAACGCATTCATTAGCGAAACATTTCCTTTTATCTTGTGCGAAATCGGCTCTAATTAAACTGTCCCTTAAGCACTCGCTGCTTTATTTTTTAAATTATCTTTTGCTCGAATGCCATGAACATCCTTTTTGTTGAAAACGATAAATTTTCCCCACTTTCGTTTCGCTTAGATTTAATGCTTTACGCTTTTATGCTAGCAAAATGGAAACAATAATCATAATTTTTATTCATTCTGGCCAATTTTTTCCCATAAAACGGGAACAAACAATGGACATCACCTGCTGCCGTTCTCAGGCCGATTTTTGAAAATAAAGCAAAACAGAAACAACAAGCAGCTTCTTAATAAAACATGCCAGTCAGCTTTTTTTAATAAACGGAACAGATTTCTTTGTCAAATATACAAGATAGAACGAGAGTTCATTAAACAAACAGAGCAAAGCATTATTTTTATGTCACTCATAGGAACGAAAAAAAAAATCAGTCAACAAAATGTTGCAAAATATTATTCAATTTCTTTTTTTTATGATCAATAACTTTCGAATAAAACCTAATTCAATTTGGGATTTACATAATTATGCTTCTGA